GCCCATGCTCATCTCCTCATGGGCTCAAACTATCATGTATCATAATGTGCTGTTCACATTGATTACTGCAAGGACATGCATGTAATAAAAACAGAACCAACAGGAGTCTTTTTCTAAATTTGGGACAGAGATAGTGATAAAAGGACTTTTCCACTGATAAGCTAAGAAGATGTGGGGCTGCCTGCAGAATGAAACTATTAAAGAGAAACACAGAGAGGAAGTGATAAAATGGTGGCCTGTTACGGTTTGGCTCTGTGTTCCCACCCAAATCTCATCTCAAATTGTAATTCCCACCTGTTGAGGGAGGGACCCATAATTCCCATGTGTCATGGAAGGGAGGTGATTGCATCATGGGAACATGTCCCCCATGCTGTCCTCATGATAATAAGTGAGTTCTCACGAGATCTGACGGTTTTATAAGGGGGTCTTCCCCCTTCGCTCACTCCTCTCCTGCTGCCTTGTGAAGAAGGTGCCTGCTTCCCCTTCTGTCATGATTATAAATTTTCTGAGGCCTCCCCAGCCATGTGGAACTGTGAGTCAATTAAACTTCTTTCCTTTATAAATTAGCCAGTCTCGGTATTTCTTTATAGCAGTGTGAGAACGGACTAATACATGGCTGTAACAGCATTCACTGAGTGCCTGACCCAGCCATATCTGCAGTTAGCAATACCACTAGCTCCTTGATTATTTAAACTAGCATATTTTCCTCTGTTAAAGCTAGTTAGATATCTGAAACATGCAGTTTAAAGATTCTTCTATTTTTTTCTTTTTAGATGGCATCTCACTCTGTCGTCCATGCTGGAGTGCAATGGTGCAATCTTGGCTCACTGCAACCTCCATTTCCTGGGTTCAAGCAACTCTCCTGCCTCAGCTTCCTGAGAAGCTGGGATTACAGGTGCCCACCACCATGCCCAGCTAAGTTTTTTTTTTTTTTTTTTTTTTTTGTGTGTATATATATATATATATTTATTTATTTATTTATTTTTTAGTAGAGATGCAGTTTCACCATGCTGTCCAGGTTGATCTTGAACTTCTGACCTCAGATGATCTGCCCGCCTCGGCCTCCCAAAGTGATGGGATTACAGATGTGAGTCGCCACGCCTGGCCCAGTTTAAAGATTCTTATTATAAACATTTACTCATTTACCACACTTTAGGTAACTTCTATGTGCTGGAGAAAGCCAAAAAGTACAAGTCATAGTCCCTGCTCCAAATGAGCTTTGAACCTAGAAAGTGGTGGCAAGCATATGTCTAACTGAAATAAAAGGTCAGAGATGCTACAGCAATAAGGTACACGTAGTAACAAAGATGAGGGTGTGGCTAAGATTAACAGAAGTGGTTGAATGTATTCCACAAGTACAGTTTGACTTAGGCCTTGAAGAAAAAGTCGGGCTTAATGGGACAAAGAAATATGAAAGGACATTTGAGCAAGAAAATAGTGAACTAAAGGAAGTTTACCTTAAGATTCTTTTAAAATATATTTTTTAATGCCTAACCTGGCTCTTTTTATATATTAGACAAAAAAGTTTATCTAATGAGAGCAAAGGCATGAAGACAAATGAATAGATATATCATTTATTTGGAGTTAGACCTTAGCCAGTAACATAATCCCCTTTTATAACATTGCTCCTAATAGAAATTATGTTTGTTTTACCATCACTTACTTTATGGCACAGCTTCCAGGAAAAGGAGAAATAAAAAAGAGTTACTGCTGCAATTGATCAATAGAGAATGGTAGTTTTAATTAATTGCTAGGCTTGCTTTATTCTTCTTTTCAAGACATAAACAAGTTCTTTAACTGCTATAAATAAACTCATATATAACATCTATTAAGACTTTTACCATTTTAAAATTATAAATATCCAAATATGAATACCATTCACAAATTATGAACAGAGAAAGATCTAACGGAAGAAAGATTCTGAGACTCTTAGTAGCCAAATAACACAAGGCTTAGCATATAATTAGAGCTTAGTATTTCACTAATTCATTTCTGAAAGAGTGGAAGGGAAGGGAGGTCTGTGCAAAGGCTTTAGAGCAGGGCAACCTGGCCTTATAACCTCTGTGGATATGGAAAGGCTGCTTTAAACTTTCATCTATTATATATTTGTCTTTTTTTGAGTCGTCTATTATATGTTTCTATCTTTTAACATTGCACAAGTGATATGAGACAATGTATACAAAGGACTGGCATGGAGTAGGCAGTAGTGTAGTAAATATTAGTAATAAGAGTCTAATAATAGTAGTAGATGCTCAGGAAATCAAGGCACTTTACTAACAAAGAATAGACCAAAATCCTTATTTTGTCTCTTTGAAATGAGGTAATTAGACAATTGAATGTTTTAGTAGTTAGGGTATTTCTTTTGATAACAGCATCAGTAATGACGAGCTCCTGTACTCCAAATTAAAATACAGTATTTTGGTGAATTTTATGGAGCATAAGGCACTGAAGCTGTCCACCTGTTTATCACCCAACAATATTACTTATTTGACATTGATATTATTTCCTCAATAATCAGCTCCATGGTAAGAAAAATATTTGAAGGCCAGAAAGGACTATTTATGTCTGCACAATTCGTGGACACCTAGCAGCCATGTCCACTGTATAGCTGCTTTGCGATAAAGTACACAGAGCAGAAACTACAGGTTTATTTGATTGGGATTTTTAAAAATATTTAGGATTATGTATACATGTGGTACCACACACCCACCCCCTGGCTATCAAGGATCTGAACCCATTTTCTACAAAATATATCATTTAAGTATGAAAACTCTGAAAGCTTACCTGCTTTACTATCTCTGTTTTTAGCTCAATGCATAACATTACATTTGGAACCCTTTACATATTAAATTAAAAGGAAGCTTATAAAATAAATGTCACATTTAAAAATTTGTTCTCTTTAATAGTTTGATATTGAGTTTCAACACCATGTTAGAAGACCTAAAGATTGTCATATATTATCAGATGTATTGAGTCATAAATAAATTATATTTCTAAAGGATGTCTATTTTCAATTATGTTTTCAGATTGCTATGGTCTGAATGCTTGTGTTCCATCCAAAAATGTATTTGTTGAATCCTATCCCCACACGGTGATGCTGTTAGGAGACAGAGCCTTTGGGAGGGGAGGAGGTCCTGAGGGTGGAGCCTCATGAATGGGATGAGTACCCTTAATGAAGTGCTCCTTGCCCCTTCGACCTGGTGAGGACAATGCGAAAAGGTGCCATCTACGAACCAGGAAATGGGGCCTCACCAGACACTACCTGCTAGTGACTTATCTTGGAATGCTCATCTTCCAGAACTGTGAGAAACACATTTCTATTGGTTATAAGCCACTCAGCTTTGGGTATTTTGTTATAGCGGCCTGAACAGACTTAAACACAGATGTTATCAAAGAAAAGTCTTATTTTGTTTTATATAAATATGCAAACATATATATAACAGAAATATGTAATAATGTTATATAGTAAATGAAATATAGTAAATATATAAAATTCACATTTTTTAAAAATATATTATTCCATTTAGAAAGAATTTACCCAGTGTTCCTTTAAGTAGTCAGTTCTTGTAGCATATTTTTAATAGAGGGAAAATAGCCATGTGCAATGTAAAAAGCACTTACATTAGTAAGAACGGTTTGGTTTGCAAGCTTTAGAAACTCAATTCTAACTAACTTAAGTAAACCAAATAGAAAAGGGTAGGTGTAGTGGGGAAAGCAAGTCAGGAATATAAAATACATTGTTTATGCATGAAAACTTTGAAAGCTTACCTGCTCTATCTTACACTTATTCAGAACACCAGTTGCAAGCACTGTAATTAAGGAATTCTAATACAACAACAGAAACACTCAGGAAATCCTTACCATCTCTATTTTTCAGTTCAACGTGTAATATTATATTTGCATCCACAGGCTCAAGAGTTGCAAACACAGACAAGAGATTTGTTGTTTAAAAAAAAAAAAAAATACTTGCAATGTTGATCGACAAGAGATATTAAGGTGTTAAGATGCTAAGAGGGTAAAATGAAATAATACCACAAGCAGAGTAGATTGGAAGAACTGATTAGACTCAAAGATCCTGAGATATGGTCCTGTCCCTGGAGCAGAGGTGTGGACAAGCATCCCTTTTCCATGTCCATTTCTCCCCCTTTATGGGATACAGGATAAAATCTCCTGGGAGGGAGTACTGGAGAGGAAAAGGAGCCATCAAGGGGGCATTTTGTTTATGTGCTGGGTGCTACTCTAGGCACCTCCTAGAGCTAAAGGTTTCCTACTCTGTAGCTCCCGGTGCGCACCCAGGGTATCTGTGTGTGGCTTTGCAATACCACATCATCACACCTCTGTAATTACACATCAGATGTCTCCCTACCCACTGGACTCTTGCATCCCTGATGATAAGGGCTAAATTATTTCAACTGTGTATGCCCTGTACCAATGCAACCTTTGCTATACAACGGATGCTTAATAATTATATGATAAATGGCTAAAAAAACCCATTTGAAACTAAATTACTAAGGATAACAGAAGAGCAAAAGTAAGCAAATTAATTACAGAAAAAAAAAACATTTTAAAGGGCAATTAAATTACTATATATTCAGATCACAATGGTAATTTACTTCAATCCAACATCCAAAACAAATATTTATTGATCATATACTATGTGCCAAGTGCTAGGCTTGGCAATCAGATGACAAAGACAAATGTGAATGAATATGATATTCTTCCTTACATGAGAAAGCTGAACTCTTTTAGTTTTTTCTCTAGAGATAAGGTTTCATTACCTTGCCCTGGCTGAAGATGAACTCCTAGGCTCAACTGATACTCCCACCTCAGCCTCCTGAGTGGCTGAGACTACAGGCACATGCCACCTCACCCAGCTGGGAGCTGAACTTTTAACTAGTTACATGGAGATATGATATGAGGCAGAAGGGAGTAAGGAGGAAACAAGTTTAAAATTTTAGGAGTTAAATTGTGGAGCATTTTGCTGTTCCAAAGAGACTTACCTTTGGTGAGATCTCACTCTGCCAGCCAGGTGTAGAAATAGTGGATGCTCTTATCTTTCCTTTATGTGAAAGAGTCCAAAGTTGTGGCGTTCATCCAGGCTGCCCGGTGATAAAGTTTTCATCTGTCTCCTGAATCGACCTGCTGACAATGTCCAAGTGCAAGAGATATTTGTTCTGTCAACGGCATCCCAGATTCCAGTTCTGTGAATCCAGTCTCACCTTAAACTTCTGATGCCACCACATCACTTTAAACCAGACCACCAGTCTTAGTCCATTCAAGCTGCTATCATAAAGTATCATTGACTGGGTGTTTATAAAAGAAATGTATTTCTCACAGTTCTGGAAGATGGAAGTCTGAGATCAAGGTGCCAAGATGATCAGGTTCTGAGGAGGGCCCTTTTCCAACTTGCAGTCTGCCATCTTCTTGTACTTGTATCCTTACATGGTGGAAAGCGAGCTCTGGGGTCCTTTTCCTAAGAGAACTAATCCTATTCATGAAGGCTCCATCCTCGTGACTTAATTACCTCCCAAAGGCCCCACCTCCTAATATCATCACCTTGGGGTTTTTAAATATGTGAATTTTGGAGGTATCCATTCAGACCATAACGTCGCCAAAGGGTTAGACAAGTGCTTCAGGATTCTGTTAAAATGCAGATACCGATTCAGGACATCAGGGATGGGACCTGGGATTCTTCCTTTCTCATGAGCTTCCTGGAGGATGCAGTTCTGGGGAGGATCACATTGGACTTAAAGAGTTAGAGGATTGTGGAAGGTTTAAGGACTGAAGTGTGTCCTGTATTTTCCTAATGTAGGTTGTGCCTTCCCTTCACTAAATTCCGGTGGAAGTAAAGAATTCTGAGTAATGGAGTCATTCTGTGATCAGAAAACAAGGTGTTTTCAGGATCTATTTTCTCTAAAGATTAGTTACATGAATTAAAAACAAAATATCTTTCCTAGTCATCACATCAAGGACTCACAGAAGGTGCTGTTGGCCAGAGGAGACACCCCAAAAGAGAAAAAAAGCCCAAGCCAGAGGCAATCTGTAGAGCTTCACCCCTCCTCCCTGTTTTGCTTAAGGTAGAGACTCCCTCGCCATCTCCCAGATGCTCCTTTGTAGCCTCAGAGAAAGTAAATCTCTGTCCTTAAATCACAAAGGACAAATCACAAAGGGAGCCTTCAATCACAAAGCCAAATATTCCTCCAGGCTTGGTTATTAGGATTAGATAGGGAAAACCCAGTTTGGGGAGAGAGAGAATTGTCAGAGTCCTTTAAACCTTGGTGAGCATGGCAGGCATCTTGGAGGTCGCTGAAGCTGCTTAAGTCTGAGCCAGTAGTGCCAGAGGACAAAAAGACACCTGCTCACAGCCCCCTAAGTGGAACGAGCTTTCCAACTTAGCTCTCTCATTTCATCATCTCAATCTGAACATGAGGCACACGGGAAACTCAGAGAGGTTATGCTACCTGCCCAAGGTCACACAGCATGAGGTCAACTAAGGATGTGAAAGTTCCCCAGGGTCATAGTCCAGCCTCTCTTTTCGATAGCACTTCGGAAAAAAACTAAAGACAAGCCTTAAAAGGCTGCAGGAGGTCCAGCCCCCGCTTAGCCGCTGGACTCCGCCCCTAGCGGCAGCTGGACCACCCAGGCGGGCGGAAAGGTGGAGAGAGAGGAATCACTTCCGGGAAACAGACGCGAAAAGAGGCAGGCACTTCCGGGGCATAGAAAATAAGGATCATTAAAGGTCAGTAGGCTCGCAGGTGACTGCCAAGTAGCGTTAAAAGGTACGCAGTGATTAAAACACCTCTCTAGGGTCCACATCCTAGAGACGTGTGGACCTGTCTCTAAACATCTCTCTAGGTACTCGAAGATAACATAACTCTAAACGAGCAAGTCTTGCCTGCGCTGGAGGACGCTCCGATCTAGCGGCCACGTTAAGTACAGAAGTTTACCTGGAGCAGGCGGAGCCGAACAGACGCCTGCGTCGGCGCGATGACGTTACATACCTGCGCGGGAGGCGGCACCTACCCCTGCCGCAGGACTTTACTGGGCAGGCTCGCGGCGAGCGTAGCCCGGCCTTCATAGACGGAAGAGGGTTGAGTGACGGTCCAGCCCCGCCTTCTGGTTAAAGGGACATACTCAACACGGAAATATCCCGGGGCTGAATTGGTACGGAACCCTGGGGCCTGGCAAGGGCGTGGAGGGTTGTGGTGTGCTTCTGCGAGACTGATGCGGGCACCACCCCGGCTCCGCCGGCCTCCAAGCCACCGGAGAGCACTGAGCCTGTGCTGACCGGGCCTGGCCTCCTGGATGCTTAGCACTCAACCCTCTACCCGTCCCCATTTGCAGAAGTGGAATCAAAACTGGGGCTCGGCCCGGGATCGATGACCGGGACTCAGTCTACGCGGACGCCAGCGCAGCCTGCGGCAGCCGAGCCTCCTGCCCTCACAGGGCCTGGCCGGGTGCATCAGAACAGGCTGTCTTAGGTCCCTAAATTCGAGGCCCTGGCAATGTGCCTAATATTGGGGTCCCTGAATGGGGCCCTTGGGTCCCCAGGGAAACCCTGAGACCCTCAGAATGGACAGCCTTGTGAAATCACAATTTCATTCAAGTGGGCAAATTGTGCCCACTGAGGCATAGGAAAACATATAATTTTGTATTTAGATGTGTTGCAAGTATAAAGTGGCCTGGCTGATACTGCATGGAGCCTTAATTTGCCTTCACCAGTTATGACCTCAGTTTGTCTTGAGATACTTGGCAAAGAAATGTATTGCATTGTTGAGTGATTGCTTATTGCGTTACTGAATAATTGTATTGGCGTTTATAAAAATAAGGGTGCTCATAATAGAAATTGAGAAGGGGAGTACGGAGCTATATTTGACATTTTCTGATACACTTGCCCAGAACAAATGTGTTTTTCATTTGGAATTTGATACAGTCTCTAATAATTTTCTCTTTCCATAATTGTAGCGCCGCCCCCACCCGGCAAAACGTTTCAAAGGGTCAAGAAAAAAGACCAAATGCCCTTGCCAACTGTAATCCTACATCTGTTTCTTGACAAGTAATTAAATCTTAGATTGCATGATAATCTATGTACCGAATAAATGTGGAATGTTGTAATTTTTTTTTTTTTTTGCACTGTTGAAGACTTGGGTCCAGGTAAGGAGAGAAAGAAAATCTTTGAAAGATTCCTGTGTTTAATTAGAATTAATTGAAACGACTGTGCTTAAAACAGGGGATGATGTTAGAAGAAAGCCTTGGAACAATGATTAGCATAAGATTACACAGCACCTGGTAAACTATTCCATCTTAACAGCATTTTTGTTTTTTGTATTGCCAGTGCTGCAGCTAGAATGAAGCACATCAACTTGTCATTTGCAGCGTGTGGATTTCTGGGCATTTACCACTTGGGGGCAGCATCTGCACTTTGCAAACATGGCAAAAAGCTTCTGAAGGATGTCAAAGCCTTTGCTGGTGCTTCTGCGGGATCCTTGGTTGCTTCTGTTCTGTTAACAGCACCAGAAAAAATAGAGGTAATTAAGTAGTAATTTAGGCTGTGTTCCTCATCAAGAAATTAAGACTCAAAGGCAAACATGAGCATTGACTCAACTAAGTTAACACTGCAGAGAAATAATCCTTTGCCTTGGAAACAGAAAGGATTAGGACTTCTCTTTTAAAATGTAATCATTAGGGATCTGTGCTCTGGTTGTGGAAAAGATTATTTTGGGTGACAGTGAAATAAGGAAATAAAATGCCTTATATTACTCTTGAGTTTTTATTTATCCTTAAGATTCAAGCTCTGTTCCTTTCAAGCAAAGAATATTTGTTTCTATGCTCATGAGAAAAGCATGGGGGCTATTTTCAAGGTCATAAACATGTGGGCAACAAGTCTGTACTCACTGCTACTTAGAAATAGATATATAAAATAAAATGTGGGCATTCAGTTTCTGTTAAGTGGTCTAGGAATTTAATTCCTTTTTAATTCTCACAGTAAGAGGAAGCTCTGAGTTCCAAGCAATTTATCCAGAACTAATACAAATGAGTCTTCATTGAGTATTTTATTTAATGCAATCTATGTTTTAAAAATCCGTTTTCTGCTATCCACACAGTGATTAATCATTTGCTGACTGTGAGAGCTGGATTCTGTAGTTGGAGAATATTATATTTGTTAATCATTACATACTCTAGCAGCTTTGAACAATAGTGAAATAACAATTTAACACCCTCATGCCCAAGAATGAATTTCAGTCACATTTAAAATTCCAAAACCATGCAATTTTAAACATCAAAATCTCATTGCAGATCTGTTGTGAGCTGCTTATCAAAGGGAAGCTAGGTTTGAGGCCAATCATTCAGAAATCCACTTATCTTCCTGTCTTTATATGGTTGATTTACAGAGAACTAGAAAAGTGATTTCAAACTGCAGAGATTACACAGGATGAGAACCTTAAGTCATGCAAGGTATAAATGAGGTTAGGAAATTTCCCCTAAACTAGTAGAATCATATGCTTTGAATTACAAGCTACCTCCTTCCCATAACTGTGTTTCGTTTTTGAAGCAGAGGACTCTCAGGGCGTCACTTCTTCCTTTTTACTACAGTCTTTCCTTCAGCTGTGGCAAATCCTGAGCTCTGGAGTTACGTAGACTTGGTTTCTAATTCTGAGCAAATTAAAAAATGTATGATTTAGAATTAACCTGATTTGGAGATACTGCAATAATACAGCCACTTATACTTAACTGAAATTCTGCCATGTTGAGACATTGAATAATTTACCTGAATTGGAGACTTGATATCATATTCTCAGATCAGTTTATTTGTTGTTACATATTTTTTGCACCAAATGAGAGGCTGGGTTGTGTTGTCTGATGGTGTTGATATGATGAAAAGGTGTCTTTATCTGGTGCTCCCATGGGAAGGTGGAAAATAATTTTCTTTGTTTCCTTGGGGCATCCTCATTTGTTCTTCAAAATAATTTTTCAGCCGTAGTAACCTTTTGACTTAAGGTTATTTTATTTCCTTTATTTTTAGCATTTGAAATAATCTACCTGTAGGATAGCCTTGAGTTTTTTTAGCAAATGTTTCTACCTACTCAGATTTACGTTCACTCAGTTCTCACTGATGGTGTAAGATCCTCAAGTTTTTTACTGTTGTGTCAAATACATGTGTAATTAATCTTGTTCTGAGCTTATGCATGAATAATTAAGAGGAGCACCTGATGCTGGGCATATTTTAGGTAGCAGGCAAATTTAGACATTGATATGGAAGAGCTCAGTGCTGCAAGCCTTTCCTCAGGCCTCACAATTTGCAAGGAAGCCATGGTGCTAGACTCAGTGGGGAAGTCAAAGATGAATTGGTCTAGGATATGTAGATTATTGAATATAACTAAAACCAGTACAAAGAAATAGGCTAGATGGGCAGTCTAGGTCAGTAAAATGAACATACATTTGGTGAGGCTACCCGCATTTCTCACCTAGAAGCTTCCTGCAGCCTATATCCATTCAAGCTCCCTACACTCCACCTACCTCATGGCACTTAGAGTGATGTCACCCAAAGGCACATCTGATCACTTCATTGCCCTCCCCCCACCCCGGGGCAGGGGCTCTCTATTGACTTAGAATAATGTGGCCCGGGTTTCTCAGCATGCATCACAATGCCCCATGTGACTTAGCCCTACTTGTGGCACACCACAGGGACACATTTCAGCTCTGTGCCCCTCTCAGAGTTGTTCTTGCTATTGTTTTTACTATCCTCTGCTTTCACCTTTGTCCCCTGTCCCATTCCTGTTTATATTTAAGTCCCAGCCAAGGTATCAGATGGGAGGGAAACCTTTGGCATCCCATGAGGTTGGAGGTTGACACCCACTCTATTCATTTTATGTTGCTGCTTTGACAAAGGACTTTCAAGTTCGTGGCTTAAAACAGCATGTGTTTATCATCTTCCAACTCTGGAAGTCATAAGTCTAAAAGGGCCTCACTGGGCCGAAATCAAATGTCCATGCTCACTTTCTCCAGAGTCTCCAGGGTAGAATTCATTTCCTTACCTTTTCCAGTTTCTGGAGAATGCCCAGGCACCTTAGCTCCTGACCCCTTCCTTGATTTCTAAAGCCATAAGCACAGTGTCTTCAATCTCTCTAACTCTGGCTCTCCCACCTCCCTCCTTCCCTTACAAAAACCCCTGTGATGACATTGGGCCTACCCAGGTTATCCAAAAGTATGTCCTCATCTCAAGGTCCTTAATTGCATCTAAAAGTCCCTTTTAACATAGCAGGTCTCCTAGTCACAGGTTCTGGGGACTAGAATGTGGACATCTTTGTGGAGAAGAGAGACCTCTGCAATAATATAGCCACTTAGCTGAAATTCTGCAATGTTAAGACATTGAATAATTTACCTGAATTTGAGACTTGATGTCCTCATATTCTCAAATCAGTTTACCTGTTGTTATTTATTTTTTGCACTAAATGAAAGCCAAACACACCTCATGGGGGCTCTCATAGCCCTCTGTGACCTGCTTTTGGAGGCACTTAGGATTCTCATGAGCACAGATCCTTTGCATCTTGTCCTCTCCAAATCCCAGTGCCTAGCCAAATCCCTGGTGCCCAGTTAGTTGCTGAATTAATTCATTATTTAATACAAAACAGACTTGGGTGCAAATCCTGACTCTGAGACTCATTTTTAATGAAATATTGGGACAGGCACTTGAACTCTCCAAGCCTCCATTTTCTTATCTGTTAAGTGGGGTGGTTATACCCACGTTGCAGGATGATGTGAAGATGAACTGACAGTGTCACTCTGTGGATCCCAGTTCAGGGTAGACACGAGCATCCCTGAGAAACTTTATAAAATACCAGTGTCCAAGATGAATCTCTGAAGACTCTGATTCAGTCTGTGCAAACCATAGATGTCACCACTCCTATTTCTGTCACTGGTGCTGTCATTTGTAATCAACTCTGTTTTAGGGTTGTAATCAAACTGCTGCTGAGACCACAAAACTGGGGTAGGAGAGAAGGTTAATTGCACTGAGGAAACCTTTTGAAGAATGTGCTTAATTAAAATTCAGATTGCACCTTCAAGGATTTTTCAGATGAGGGCAAAGGCCATTTAAGGTGCTTTACAAAGGAAAAAAACAAACAAAAAAAAAGATTAGGATTATAAGAATGTATAACTTGCAAAGGGCCTGAGAATGGTGGGTGAGGCCCTGGCCAGGTGGGAAATTTGCACACCTTTAATGATGTGACACCCTACATTTGCTGTTGGGTCTATAGAATCTCAAGTTTTAGAAGTGGAATGATTTCTTTCTTTATAATACATAGAGTCACTTCTTAATTTTCTTTTTCTAGGAATGTAGCCAATTTACCTACAAGTTTGCTGAAGAAACCAGAAGGCAGTCTTTTGGGGCAGTAACACCTGGTTATGACTTTATGGCCCGACTAAGGTATACAGAGTACATTTTGCCCAAAAGTACATGAAGACAGAGTGTTGACGACTCTCTGTACAAACTGTGGCAAGCTCAGCATTCTCTCTTGTAAAATATTTACAAGGTGTTCAATAATTAAAGATGAATAATGCAGATTGCTTTTTCTTCTTTAGAAGTGGAATGGAGTTGATTCTTCCTTCCGATGCTCACGAGCTGGCTCAGAACCGACTGCACGTATCCATCTCCAACACCAAAACCAGAGAAAATTACTTAGTCTCCAATTTTTCCTCCAGGGAGGACCTTATTAAGGTAACAGAGCCACATTTCCCATTTGAAGAAATCAGCAAGTGCTGATTTCAATACTTCAAATAAAGTAATGAACATTACCACGTTCTTTAGGTCCTGTGTCTTATCAGGCCCGATAGATGGTTAAATGCTCAGTAAATTATGTGTTTGATGAAAGCATTCACCAGAATCCCTCCCGAGGCTGCTGCCTCATGATGCACTGTGATCCAGAAGCTCCTTGTACTTGTCAGTGTTTTTCTTCAATATTCAGATCTCACATTGATTATGTGAAGCAAGTAGATGGTGAAGTTTAGTAACAATAATAATTCCTGAAATTTATGTAGCAGTGATGTAGGGTTTTTAACATGTACTCTCTTATTCAATCCTTCAAGTCCTTCTGTAAATCAAGTAGGACAGGTGTTATTGTGACCCTTTTATGTTTTTGTTTTGAGATGGAGTCTCACTCTGTTTCCCAGGGTGGAGTGCAGTGGTGCAATCTTGGCTCACTGCAACCTCCGTCTCCCAGGTTCAGGTAATTCTCCTGCCTCAGCCTCCTGAGTAACTGGGATTACAGGCATGTGCCACCATGGCCACCTAATTTTTATATTTTTAGTAGAGACAGGGTTTCACCATGTTGGCCAGGCCGATCTTGAACTCCTGACCTCAAATGATCTGCCCTCCTCAGCCTCCCAAAGTGCTGGAATTATAGGCATGAGCCACCATGCCTGGTGCCTTTTATGTTTTTAACGGAGAAGTGAATGGAAAGATTTTATGTGATGTACATACCTATGTACCCAAGATTATCCTGCGTGGCAGTGGGAGCCAATTCTGGTACCCAGGTCTCTTAACTTTTCAATCTAATGTTCCATTTTGTTTCTTCCATTTTGTTCTAATGTCTTTCAGTCCAAACACATTTGAAAGTTGATTGGTTGAGAATTCATCATCTCTGGGAAATCCTTCAACTGATTGATTTCCAAATAACAGTGTGCTTACTGTGGTAATGCACTGAATATTTGTAAGGTAGAAAGGGTGTACTTCTCTTGAAAATTTTTCTTGTTTTTCTCTCTAGTGCAAATCATAACAAGCTTCAGGTAATATAGAAAATGTAGGTTTTCATACAGCAGAAAGTAATGGGTTGAGAATGAGTGGTAAAATCCCATCTATTTGGACACTGCCGTTTGAAATACTTAATGAAATGTTGAATTGACAAGTAAAATTACTTTGCCACTTAATAGTTTAGAATATTTTTCCTTGATGTCCCTATTACATCAGTCTCTCACTTATAAATTAAGAGCCTTTCTATCTTAGAAAAAGACATTTTTCTATTATCTTATTACAATATTGTGTAGACTTGACAGTGTAAAGGGAAGAGCTAGGCAACCCATGCTAAGTAGTCCTAAGTCATCCATGTCCAACACAGAGAAGGCTTGTGGTGGGCAGGCATACATCTCCTTGTTTACCTCGGAACAGACTGTGTGCTCTTGTGACATGAAATGAGGGGGATTCTGCCCTCAGCCCTCCCTTTCTCACATAGTCCATCGCTGGCTTCTCTGTCTACAATGACAGAACTCTTAGCCCCTGATCTTCCTACATCCAATCCTGATTTACATATCACTGTTTAGCATGCTACCTCTTTTACTGCTGTCTTGGTTAGCTTGTGTTGTCCATCTTCCTTCACCAGAATGTAAGCTCCAAGAGGCAGGGATTTCTCTGGTTTGCTCACTGCCGCGGCCCAGTACCTGCCTCACTGCCAGTCATTGTATAGGCACTTGGTAATATGTATGAAACAAATGGATATGAACCAAGGTGCCATCTGTTATACTGGCCTGATTTAAAACAAAAGAAAAGAAAGAAGCTGGGTCCTCCATACTCTATGACCTGGGCAAAATCACATAGCTGGTGGGGCCCAGCTGGGACTGTGGTCCATGTGTCTAGCATTCTTCCCTAACTATACCCCATGCTGGATAAAATGCTCATCCATCCTCTGTCTTCTGGTAGACAGAAGAATGACACCCAAAGGTGTCGTTACCCTAATTCCCAGAACCCATCCAGATGTAACTTTACCTGGCAAAAGGTATTCTGTAGATGTGATTAAGTTAAAGGTCTGAGATAAGAGGATGATCCCGTGTTATCCAAGTGGACCCAAACTAAATACATAAATCTTGAAAAATGGACACCTTTCCTGGATTCTGTGTACCATTGCTTGTTTGGAGATGTAGGAGCCACATACCAGGGGAGCACAGAGGCTTCTAGGAAAGCAGTTCCCTGCTGACAGCCAGCCAAGTAAAGGGGCCCTCTACCCTGTAACCTGTGGAAATGAATTCTCCTAACACCCTGAAGTAGACACATTTTCCCCTACAGCCTCCAGAAAGAGACACAGCCCTACCGACACCTGGATTTTCCCCAGTGAGACCCATACCAGACTTTGGATCCTCAGACTGTATGACAATACTTTTGTCTTTTATGAAGCAGTTAAATTTGTAGTAATTGTTATAATGGAAATAGAAAACTATTGCTGTTAAGTAAACATGACGTTTTTCTAGTTCCTTTGTTTTGGATAATAACTATTCAGAGAATTGCTGTAATTACTTGAGTTCATTGAACAGAAGAGAAATTGTTGATATAAATGTATAGTACTTTGTAAGGAGAATATCGAATAATTGACATTTATTCTAGGTTCCACAAGAAACATTCTACGTGTTTAGGAGGATGTTTTAACATTTTTCAGAACTAAAAAGAAGGAAGGATGAATAGTTAGTTCCTTGATAGCAGATGGTGACTATCAAACTGTGTGAAACCTATGCCTGGAATACTCATGAAGCATTTAGCAGAAAAGAGTGAGAGGGCAGGAAGACTAGGGATGATGGAGCAAAGGAAGAAGCATGAAGGGGAAGTAAAATAACCCTCCCTGCCAGGTAGGGACATAATCAAGTGTATTTGTTCCAGTGAAAGAAGAGACTGGTGGGAGAATGTTGTATGAGGTGGTGCCATGGGAGGATGGTAGTTCTGACCTTTTTGGTTGGGGTTCGGGGAGGCTGCCTGAAGGTCACTCCACTCCGCTTAGATGGAGATAGGAGGCTCCGAGTTCCTGAAGCCATGTACTGAAGCAGCTGAATGATAGGTCGCTATGGGTATCCCAGGGCTTGGCATACCTGGCTCTGAACACACAGCCTGTGGTCTTGATATGATTTCTCTGTGCCCCCCCACCCCAAATCTCACCTTGAATTGTAGTTCTCATAATTCCCATGTGTTGTGGGAGGGACCCAGTGGGAGATAATTGGATCATGGGGACAGTTTCCCCCATCCCATACTGTCCTCATGGTAGTGAATAAGTCTCAGAACATCTGATGGTTTTATAAGGGGTTTCTGCTTTTGCTTCTCTCTCGTTCTCTCTTGCCTGCTGCCATGTAAGAAGTGACTTTTGCCTTCCACCATGATTGTGAGGACTCCCCAGCCACATGGAATTGTGAGGCCATGAGACCTCTTTTTATTTTTTCTTTTAATTTACCCAGCCTCGGGTATGTCTTTATCAGCAGTGTGAAAATGAAGTAATACAGGTCTACTTCTTAGTATCTGGATATTCTGTAGATGGAGTGGTTAGGGGACACAGAGAAAGAGACAGTTGATTAAAACTCAAGATAGAGTAAAAGAGTATAGGAGAGCATGAGATACTAAACACTGATTATTTTTACCTCCTTTAAACTTTGCTCCATGTATTTTCTGTGTTTTTATCATTAACTCATTTATTCTGCTACTTAATAGTTGATTTTTTTTAAATGCCTAGTTTTTCATCACCCACTAGCTGACTATGCTGTTTGTTACAGAAAGTCCCTATGTACCTGAAAATCCAACTAGAAACTTGTAGCTTAGAATGTGTGTGTGTGTGTGTGTGTGTGTGTGTGTGTGTGTGTGTGTATTTTAAAGTCTTTTTGAATGCCTTCAAGGATGATTACTTGTTTTATGGGCATCCTGGTGATCATGTCTAGGCCTGTTGTTTCCTAATGTTGTCCTCTTGGACTGATTGTTTTTAAACCTCAGTTTTCTCATCTCTGAAATGGAATAATTTGCACAGTAATACTAACCAGTGTTGCTGTACGGAATAAATAAGATAAAGCATGTGAAAGTGTGTTTTAAATGGTAAACCCATTTATGCATGCTGAATGGAGCCAGTATTTCATAAATAATGAATGAATAAAATAATAAGTCACACACACCCCTGCTCAGTGCCCTTGTATGAATCTGTCATGAAATTTTAAAGCCATGTTAAATCACAGCTTTTTTTTTTCTTTAGGCTGAATAGGACTTACTTTTTCTTATCATTGTTGTTCTTTACCCACTTACTTATCACCTGTCTTCATGAACAACATGCTAACTGGTATCTATAATACTTCAGGAAATGGTTGCTCCTGAGTTTTTGCCACCGTTAGGCATTTGATTTCACAGCTCATCATTATAGGCCTTCTTTTTTAAGAGAAATAATTTTGTGTGATGATTCATACTTAATTTATCTTAATGAGCTTCACCTTTAGTGGCATGGAAAATCACTCATTTGATAGCTCCGATGCTAGTTGATTGTTTTCTTGGAACCCTTGATGACTATGTGGTCCAACTATTCATTTTATTTGGGGTTGAATTTCCACAGAATTTTGAATCTTACGTCCATGGGTATTTAACTCAGTCTTTTCTATTTTATAAACTGTTATAAGACAGATTCAGGCCTTAAGGCATTCCTTTGTTCAGAATTCATTAGTGCCAACCATTCCTCTCCTTCCTAATAGTGACTATACCGACAAAGGGAAACACAGATGATGTCTGCTACTCAACTACTTGAAGGCGGCCTGCAGAGGGGAGATCCCTTTATAGAGTTAACCAGAGCTTCAGAAGGCCCCCCTCCAAAATCTTGTCTTTATTTTCCATCTATCTGAGAGATTTATTTCCAGGTGCCACACCCAGAAAAATGTTTCTTCTAAGGATCAAATTCATGACCCTTTATGTCTGTGGGCGCCAACAGATCAAGACCAAGCTGAGATCAGCTCCTGCAAATGCAGATAATTTATGGGATGGAAAAGAGTCATGGAGGGGTGGTGTACACCCACCTAACCCTGTTGTTGGTGGACTCTGGGGTGCTCGGCGAGTCTCAACTTCCTGGAGCCTTGCTTTCTTCATCTGTAAGATGGAGACCTTCAGAACAAGGTCAAATGAAGTATGTATGAAAGTATTTCATCAGCTCTTAAGTAGATACCAGATGTGCATGGTCACCTTCAAGTGCCTCCACTCTCCAGATATCCATCTCTTTATACTATACGTTATTTAGCATGATTCCTTCCTGATACCTCTCCTGGTGTGCCACAATGCACATTATACCCTGAGTGTCAAGTGTGTACATTTTACATAGCAACTCATTCATTTCAAGTTCCAGATTTTATTGTGAGTTGTTTTTCTTTAGAAGCATACATGCAACCAGGAAATCTAAACACATTTTAATATTAGCCTTCAGCAAACATAACTAGAGAGATGAGCCCCTTGGTGAAAAGAAAGTCATATGCCTCTTCCAAGGCTGAGCAGAAGTGATGTGTAATTTAACACTGCCATGGTGCGGTGGAGTTCCACTACTTCCCTGAATTGGTACAAATCATTGAATTATTCATTTTTAAGACTGATGCACAAGTGTTTTCTGAAAGAGTCTTTTGACATGTGTGAATGCTGTAGGATAGAGGTACCCAGGAAGCCTTTCCTGCACAGTCATGTCCTGACCCTCGTGGGAAAAAATTGCCCTGTCTCTATTGCAGTGATGTCCTGAACTTCTTTGCATGTGTGAGAATGCTGTTAACAAGATCCTCTCACATTTAGCCTTGTGAAGGTGAAATGAGAACTGAATTTAAGATTGGTCATTATCTTGGAAAAACTGGGGAAGATAAATTTGAATCTGTCTTTGAATTTCAACTACACCAGCAGGTTCTGTATAAGCAGTTAGATTCTCATTAAAGTCCACAGTAAACTTTAGGCATAAATGAAACTTGTTGAGAATTTAATCCCTAAGGAAGCTAGGCCACTTAATTTTCTAAACACCTCTTTTCTACAAAATGCAAAATGAATAGAGTCAATCAGAACGTGTTAGGAATGCGCACCTGGCAATGTTTTGTACTGTTGCTAGAAGAAGTCACTAGCTCTCATTTTTATCATTGTGTATATAGTAAGAACACAAATCAGTGGTTTCACATATGTCCAACATTTAAAGCTCTGTACCAAGTGATGGGGTGTGAAAACTATATCCCTGCTTTCTACATGAGCGTTCTCAACCACAAACACTGCACTCCTGGCAGTAGGGGCCCAGATTATTCCCCAGATAGTTATTTCTTTTGATAGCTGTCTGTGCTTTGTAGGAATTTTAGCAGCATTCCTGGTCTCTGTTCAGTAGATGCCAGCAGGACACCCCCACCTTCCACTCCAGGTTGTGACAGACACATTGATAAATGTCCCTAGGGGGTAAAATCACCCCCAGCTGAGAACCAGTGCTATAGACATGTTGAGGTTCATTGGCGAGGTGAATTTCACTGGGAATATTGTGAGGTAAGATACACTAAAAGCACGTGTTTAGGCATAATATTTTATGACATGACCTTAGAATGTCAGTCTTTATCTCCTTTCTTAGGAAATCCTATTTGCCTGTAATAAAATGGCAGTAAGCTGACTACAAATAAGAAAAGCTGCTTAGCTCTTAACTATCTAAAGCTAATTTCCCCACTAAACTTAGTTTGATATACAAATCATCAGTCCATATAAAGGGAGAGTCAGCTATGACAAAAACAAATACATTGATTTGGAGGAGTGACAAGTATTTTCCAGTTCACTGTACTTTTCATATCATTCAGAAGGATTCTTACTGTTATTATCTGTAGGAAAGTAATTGGATAGCATTTTTCATCCAAATATCTCAAAATAGTTCCAAACATTAACTTGTGAACTCTGCATTATACTTTGACACAGGGGAAAAGAAAAAAAAAAAAAACATACTTCTAAGGTTAGTGATTTTTTTGCAGGCCTTATGTTTCTCTGCAGAATAATGAAATAAATCATTATATTTATGGAGTGTCTTTTGTTCTTTAAAGACCTCTAAGTACTGTAATTTCACAATATGTGCACTATCTACAAATTGTTCTAGTTATTGCTTTGCAGTGTTGCATTTGCTGAATAACTTCATTAAATAGCTACATTGTGCTTGCAAAACATACCCAGGGTCTGTGATTATTTTTTTTAAAGCATAGCCAATTGATGATAAGGCCAGATTTAGTTAGGGTGAATGCAGTTACCTTAACTGTAAACAACCTTTCTCTGAAGCCAGTGATACCATTGCTACCGGTGAGCTGAGAAGGTTGGAGTTGAAGATACTTGCTTTCTGTCCTCTCTCTCCCATTGATTTATTAAGTGAGCTTCACCAAATCACCTAAGGTGCTGCTCACTCCTGCTTTGCCTCTTTCTGAAAGAGACATGGTTGCTATAATGTCACAGTATTGCATTATGCAGGCCATTTAAAGCTGAGATTTTGAGAAGAATGTCTTCGTGAGGGCATGTGTGCACTGACTTTTTGTAGAAGATTGACAGATCTTATGTGAGGTTGTTATTATGCCTTGTAATAAATAAATAAGCACATAAAAAATAAATAAAAGTGCCTGCTTTCCTTTGGGAAACAGTGCTCCAAATTAGCTTGCTTTCAATATTTCAATAAACAAGCGATGGAAATAGATGTGCATAAAATTGACCAAAAGATGAAAAAAGACCCATTGTGATAAATCTCACATGTATACATTGGCTCTGGTAAAAATATACATTTTATATTAAAATAAATTGGTTCCAGAGGCAGTCTCAACCACTTACTAGCAGAGAGACCTTTGAGCAACTTTATCTTTTTGAGACAGGGTCGTGAAAGAATTAAATGAGACATTATGTTTGAGGCAAAGTCTACTTCATGAGTATGTGACCTGTGCATTTGCATGGGGATCCACCATCCAAAGGGCCTCACCATTGGTTTAATGCTGCACCCCCAACATCTTAATATTCTCCATACTTTCTGAACAAGAGGTCGTGCATTTTTATTTTGCACTGGACCGAGAAATTATTTAGCTGGTTCTGGCACCTAGCACCAGTATGGTGCAACAGAATCCTTTCACATATGGCTATTTCTCACCTTCTTTCCTGCTGGAGTCCCTGTGTTATGTTGTTACCCTTGAATTTGCCACTGCTGAAACCTGAGGCCACAGACGCTTCTTTGGGCACTTGTCAGGAGCCTGCTGCTGTAGGAGCTGTTACAACCAGGCTCTGTGCCTTTGCAACCAACCTGCCAACAACAGCATTGGGCAACCTTCTTTAGTCCCACTATCGAGGTAGGAGGAAGAGTGTTGGGTGTGTCCATTCACATCACAGAGAAGGGAGAGAGATACCCAACAAATGTTTGTTGAGTATTATCTTTGCCAAGGGCTGGACATACAAGGAGGGACACAATTCCCTGTCCTTTCAGTGGGTTTTTTGGTAATGAGGAAACAGGAGACATGTTCAAGAAAGAACCACTGCATAAGAAAGCTATGGAAGTTCCCTGTACATGGTGCAGAAATAAACATGGCAAGAGTGGGTTCCACCTGTGTCGGGTCGCAGCTCAAAAGAGGATTTTCCTATGGAAATTGTTAGACTGGTGACTGAGTCTGTAATTTAGTTGCAGAGTTCAGAATAAATAGGCTTTTGAGAGCTGACCCAAAAACCATACCTATAACATTGATTTTTGGAGGAAATGCCTTCTGAGTTGTAAATAATTGTAAATGGATAATCTACAAGTCAACATTTGAGCCATAATCCATTTCTGAATAATGTATGATGAAAAAAAATCTCAGCCGGGCACAGTGCCTCACCCCTGTAATCCCAGCACTTTGGGAGGCTGAAGCGGGCAGATCACGAGGTCAGGAGTTCTAGACCAGCCTGAGGAAAAAAGTGAAAACCTCCCTCTACTAAAAAAAAAAAAAAAAAAAAAAATCTCATGAAATCTTTGACATCAAACAGCCAGAGAGTCTTTCATTTACCATTTGAAAGATTATAGCTTAAAAAACATTCACTATCTAATGCTGTATATTTTCAAATAGAACACTAGTGATTTGGAAACTACATGGCAAAATAAAACATTTACATTTCAGAAAAGCTATCAGAGTCCAACTTCTTATGAGGTAAGGAACTCTAATTTACTAAATGACAATCTTTTTCAACTTTTTAAATGGGAGATAAATTATAATTGGTGTCACTGCTTACCAGGGCTCCATTACATATCCTGACCACATCACTGGAACATAAAATGTGTCATTCCCTTTGCAAATCCTGGTGACATAAATGAGAACATCGCTGAGCTGTGGACTAATCTCCCCTGTCATAATCAGAGGGGTTTGTTCCTCCAGAAAGTAGGAATGCACTGTAATGATTTTTATAGTATATGATAGAACATTACAAATAATTTACTTGTAACCTTTACATACTCAGAAATTTAAACTTACCTTAAATTTCATTTTGTAATAACTTGCTTGTCTATTAAAATGCTGATTTTTATCCAGGTGAAGTTGATTGATTCAGTGTGTCAACTTGTACCTATCTCTTTGGAGTCTTTTCAGATATTAAAAGCGTTATGTTTTATGTAATTATGTACAGTGCTGCACTTGAAGTCTGGGGATTATTTATTTAGATTTTGCTAGTCAATACTACATCAAATGTATTGTCTGTTAATGCCTGTAGTCATGAGCTCCTTCTTTATTTTATCCATCTAGGTCCTCCTAGCCAGCAGTTTTGTGCCCATTTATGCAGGACTGAAGCCAGTGGAATACAAAGGGCAGGTAAGATTGTAATCACTGAGGAATTACCGTCCTCCCTATATTAATATGTTTCTTTTGAAACATCCAATTTCATAAGTATGCTAATGGCTCCAAATCGGTTTATGTGTTTTTTCCTCATAAATAGCTTTGTTTCTCTTTAAAAGGGAAAAAATACAGGGCTAATGGTAACTTATCATGAAGATCTTGTGTATGGGAATGATTGACTGTGATGCTCTTGTTTTCATCTTTGAAGTATATATATATATGTATATCTTTTTGTTGTTGTTGTTACAGTGAGCGATTTCTTTTTTCCACCTAGTAAAGTCCTGCTCACAGCCCCTTCTAAGCAGAGTTGTACCACCATCAGGGTGGGAAAGGGCTTCAGGGCTCCACACCTTGTCTTCCCCGAGACAAGGCAACATAGTTTCCTTCCAGCCTGCCCTCAGCCCCTCTGCTGGCAGAAGACCCACTCCTCTCCAAGGCTCTCTACTTACCCAGACACTTGATCACTGCAAGACCGAAACCCGTTTTGTTTGAGGAGAGTACTCCTCACTTAGGGCAGGCACTTAAGACAGGATGCCAGTTCTTTCAGGGAAATTTATACATGGACATCCATCTAAAGTCTGCGCTGAGTGTGACCCAGCTTCCTTCTGTGATCTACGCAGAGTTTGTTCTGAGTGTTCACCATTCTACCCAAGGCAGCTCGTTTACTGCATTCAACATAAGCATTTTATTCTCAAATATGGTGTCTGTTTCACACATGCCACAGACATGTATTTATAACCAAATATAGTATCTATTTAACATATACCAGATACATGCATTTTATAATTAGATACAGTAGCTATTTAACAGGCACCAGAGATATGTATTTTATAATCAGATAGAGTATCTGTTTAGCATATACCAGAGATATGCATTTTATAATCAAATGCAGTATCTATTTAACACATACTAGAAATATGCATCTTATGATCAAATGGAATAGCTATTTAACACATACAAGAGTTACGTATTTTGTAATCAAATAGAGAATCTGTTTAGCATATACCAGCGATATGTATTTTATAATCAGTTATCTAACACATACTAGAGATATGTATTTTTTAATCAAATATAGTACCTTTTTAACACACTCCAGAGATATATATTTTATACTTAGAGTAGCTATCTAGAACATACCAGAGAGATATATTTTATAATCAAATAGGGTATCTGTTTAGCATATACCAGTTATATGTATTTTATAATCACAGTATCTAACACATACCAGACGTATGCATTTTTTAATCAAATATAGTACCTATTTAACACATGCCAGAGATATATGTTTTGTAATCAAATAGAGTAGATATTTAACCCATACCAGAGATCCACATTTTATAATAAAAGAAAGTATTTATTCAGCATATATCCAATAAAATATCTATTTAGCATACATCAGAGATCAGGCATATATTCAGGATGAATAAATTACATTTGTTTTATATATGTGTAATATTTATTTATATATTTATTTTGTATTTTTTATTGCATTTTAGGTTTTGGGGTACATGTGAAGAACATGCAAGATTGTTGCATAGGTACACACATGGCAGTGTGATTTGCTGCCTTCCTCCCCTTCACCTATATCTGGCATTTCTCCCCATGCTATCTCTCCCCCAACTCCCCACCCCCCGCTGTCCCTCTCCTATTTCCACCCTATAGACCCCAGTGTGTGATGCTCCCCTCCCTGCGTCCATGTGTTCTCATTGTTCAACACCCGCCTATGAGTGAGAACATGCAGTGTTTGATTTTCTGTTCTTGTGTCAGTTTGCTGAGAATGATGGTTTCCAGGTTCATCCATGTCCCTACAAAGGACACAAACTCATCGTTTTTGATGGCTGCATAGTATTCCATGGTGTGATATATATTTATTAATAAAAGAGTACATACAAAGTGCTTTAACCAAAGGATATGAACAGACACTTTACAAAAGAAGACATACGTGAGGCCAACAAACATATGAAAAAATGCTCATCATCACTGGTCATCAGAGAAATGAAAATCAAAACTACATTGAGATACCATCTCACGCCAGTTAGAATGGCGATCATTTAAAAATCTGGAGACAGCAGATGCTGGAGAGGATGTGGAGAAATAGGAACACTTTTACACTGTTGGTGGGAGTGTAAATTAGTTCAACCATTGTGGAAGACAGTGTGGCGATTCCTCAAGGACATAGAAATAGAAATTCCATTTGACCCAGCAATCCCATTACTGGGTATATATCCAAAGGATTACAAATCGTTCTACTATAAGGACACGTGCACACGAATGTTCATTGCAGCACTGTTTACAATCGCAAAGACCTGGAACCAACCCAAATGCCCATCGATGATAGACTGGATAGGGAAAATGTGGCACATATACACCATGGAATATTATGCAACCATCAAAAATGATGAGTTAGGGTCCTTTGTAGGAACATGGATGAACCTGGAAACCATCATTCTCAGCAAACTGACAGAAGAGCAGAAGATCAAACACCGCATGTTCTCGCTCATAGGCGGGAGTTGAACAATGAGAACACATGGACACAGGGAGGGGAGCACTACACACTGGGGTCAATTGGGGGGAAATAGGGGAGGGATGGTGAGGGGTGGGAAGCTGGGGAGAGATAGCAAGGGGAGAAATGCCAGATGTAGGTGATGGGGAGGAAGGCAGCAAATCACACTGCCACGTGTGTTCCTATGCAACAATTTTGCATGTTCTTCACATGTACCCCAAAACCTAAAATGCAATAAAATAAATAAATGGGGAAAAAAAAAACATCATTCGTTCATTCATTCATTCACCCACTCAGTTTGAGGGCCCAGCACTAGGCCTGTGCTTACGGAATTGATGGTCTCACAACAAAAGCACTGAGTTTTGCAAACCCTTTGGCTGATATAATTGAGGCAGTGTCTCTGTTCTCATCTCATCAGTACTCATGATTGTCTTTCCTTGAGCACTCCTGAACTTTGGATTTTTTCTTTTTTCTCTAGTGCAAATCATAGCAGGCTTCAGGTAATATGGAGAACGTATGTTTTGATATAGCAGAAGGTAATGGGTTGAGAATGAGTGGTAGAATTCCATCTATTCAAATACTGTCATTTGAAATACTTAATGAAATGTCAAATTGACAAGTAAAATTACTTTGCCACGTAATAGATTAGAATATTTTTCCTCCGTGTTCCTATTACACCAGTCTCTTACCTAAAAATTAAGAGTGTTTCTATCTTAGAAGGAGAGGCAGGGGATAGAGGCTCCAGGTTCTCTTACAATATACACCTTCTTCGTTCGTAACAGAATCCAATTTTTATGTGGACCTATGGTTGTGTAGCTAGGTTATGTATCCCAGCTTCCCTTGAAGTTAGGTATGGCCATTTATTTAATTATTGGGCAATGACATGTGAGCCGAATAACTGTGGGACTTAACAGTACAAGGAAGGTTATGTACCTTTCCATTTTTCCTGTTGCCCAGAACTCAGATAAGATTACTGGAGCTACAGCAGCTGTTGTGCATCATGAGGTCAAGGATCACTCCCTGAAGATGGCCAAATAGTCATCTGGAAATACCCAGGTCCTAAATGATTTGAGGAGTCTACCTTACCAGCCTGCCTTCTATATTCCTGTTACCAGAAAAAATAATTAAAGCTTTTGTTACTATTGTATTCACCGGAATCCAATCCTATCTGCTGTAGGGATTCTTACTTCCAATTTTACATGTGAGGAAATTGAGATGTAGAGACATCAATCTACTTCACCAAAGTCACTGAGCTTGGAAGCGGGCAACTTCCCCAGGATGGTCCTTAACGTTTCTATCTTTGCTGTGCCTCTTGCTCCACTTTGCCCTTCAGTTCTTTTCAAACAATGCATTCCTCATTTTCTACGTGTCCAGCCCCAGTGCCACATTGTGGGTGTGTGACAGGAAGACTAGCAATGTTTGAAAGGGCACAAGTGAGGTACCTGAGTTTCTAGCGAACTTTCCATGATGTGATTGCGTGCTTTGGACATGAACATAGAGTGACAGCCACAATTAGACAGCAGGGAATGCACAGGCCCAGAGCTGTGAGGAAGATGGAAAGTGACCCACCCAAGCCCCTTGACCCTGGACAATGTCCCAGGACTGTGTCTTGCTGATCATGTGGTGTCTGTGCATAGGAGGCACATCATAATTACTTGTCTAGTTGAACTTTGTGTCTCCTGAAAGCATTCAGTTTTCCTCTGTTGTTTAATGGAGTCTGCAAAAAGGGGGGCCCCATGCACATGATTGACAGAGAGCCACAGCAGCCTTGTATTGTTTATAACACCAGAAAGCAACAATTTACAAGTGCCATTCTCTGCTTAACACTAACTCTCCTTAAGCCCGATCACCTCCCACAGTCTAATAGGGTTTCCATGCCGAGTTGTTTTCTAGAATCTTTAAATGCAGTGTTTTACTGTGGGTATAAGCTTTTTATGTGATTTAAATTACATTAAAATTTCAGTTGTGCTGAATATGTGTCTCATTTTCTAGATTTCAATGTTTTCATAGAGCTCAGGTTTTGATGTATTTGTTGTCTTTGGTTGTTTTTTTGAAGTGAGGAAGGTAGAGGTGGCAGAAGGGGAAAAAGTGACTTAGTGCTACTTATATTTGTGGCACTGAGTCAGGAAAGGCAGAGAAAGTGGGACTCAGCCAACAGGGGCAGAGTCTATTCTCTTCACTTGTGACTTTTGTTAAATGCATAGACCTCCTCATTTCTACATTGTGAGTATTACTAGATTTCATTAAGATATATTTGTGGATCCAATATGTGCATCAAATTTTTTTTTATTAATCACTTAGAAGTATTGTACTTTAATAATACTTAAGCTTAACTTCAATCACAGCAAATACTAGTATGAGTCCTTTCAAAATCCTTTACCAGTGGTTTAAAGAGGAATGATATCTTTGAAAATTGCTCTTTTTTTCCCCATTTATTTATTTTATTGCATTTTAGGTTTGGGGGTACATGTGA